GGAGGTTTTGGTTAAACCTTTGACAATTAGCGCGATTGGCCCCCAGGACGTTTCGGGGTAACTCAAAATTGCATTTTGTTTTAGAATTCGTGCAAAAATAGCTTTCCATCCTATATGGAAAATAGTCAAAATAGTACTTCAAATATGTTTTGTTATATTATATAATGTGTCCATAAAATTTATGTATTTTTTTTAAACTCAATTATGCTATAATGGTTTGTTTATTGTTTCGTTGATCGCATTCAAAGCTACAGACTACCGCCTTCTTTAACTGTCAAATTTGGCCTCTTATTTGGTGACGACCATAGTGCCGCAAAGATTTTGTACACATGATTGGTTAAGTAGTATTTTAATTTATCTCGATGGATTTCAATGAGTGTTATCTCGATGTATTGTTTTATAATGGAACGGACATGTTCAATAATGATCGAAGCCCTTACAAAAATAAAGAGTTAAAAAAAACTTATTATAGACGTATTTCTAAAGGTTTCATTACATCTCACAAATTATGTTACCTATGTTTTGCATTTCGCAAAGAGAATCGATTTCTGGTAAATTATATTTTAAAAATTTCCACTCATTTATTTAGGGACGCCTTAGAGAGGTAAGCAAAATAATGTTCCACGATACAGCCTTTTCATACGAATTTAGTATTTTTCCTTGCTGTTGTGGTTAAACTTTGGCAACATGAGCGTCACCGACCTCTAAACATTTTTTACAAATAATGTTTATGGGAGTCATCAAACTTATTAATGCGGAATCGTCTTGATGCGATTGTGTTTAACCAGACTTATCGTGTATGTCGTTGACGCGTCGTCGCGCCGCGCGGCTGTATCTTGTAATGTACACCAGAATCAAAAGTTTTCGGCATGCATACGGACGCGATCGAAAACTCTCATGAAGCAGCCCCTGTACTCTCGTTCTCCATCCGATATCCGTCCGAAACAATTACTGTCGACTAAGTAATACTCAACGAAAGTTAAAAGATGACAAAGAAGCTTTATACTTGACATTGTCTTTTAATTTCGTCGAGTATTATTTATATAACGTTCATTGTTTCGGACGGATGTTAGACGTAGAACGAGAGTAAACCGCTGATTCGTTGCCGACCTTTATCGAACCGCGTCCGCACGAACCGATGCAAAACACACGTCTTTTTCGCACTTACGTTTTAGGACATAAAGTTTTTTCTGACCGGCCTAATACTATTCTGCGTTAATAAGTGTGGTGACTCCCTAATGCAAATATGTCAGCAGATATTCCCACAATATCTTATAATGGCATGTATTTATAAGAAAATCAATAGCGTATACTTTAAAAATTAACTGCTGTAATAATAATACATATTTAATATTTATTCTGTATTTATACCATTTGTTTATTTACATCTCATAATCCTTCGACTGATCGCTTTTTCACTTTTTCTCCAACTTTGAAATCCCGTTTCCAAATTACATTCCATGATATTATAAAAGTTTCCTTGTTTTACGGTAAATAAGTTATATGGTCAAAACACTTTGTACGTGGCTAATACGCTTACCTTTCTTTTTTTTTTTTTTTTTTTTACGACATTGCAGATGTATGTAAACGAAGCACAGCAATGTTTTGTTATCTGTCATTGTCACAATCGTCGTAAATTGCGGGGCGGGGTATTATGGTTTTTACCAAAGAGGTTTTTGCATTTGTCAGAAGCAGTGGCGTATTTCACAAGGTCGTTAGAAGTTATAGTCAAGGTAAATCCTTTCCATTTTTGAGGTTCTCCAACTTGAATAAGTCTGAGTAGCAGTGATAAACGTATTTTTAACTGCAGAAGCCCATCTAGCGTTTGTCGAATACTTATATTCTTAGAGCGAATTTTGAATTTGTCTTTAATATATTGTTAATTCTCTTTCGAACCTTTAGCATTAACTACAGGTATGGGGACGCACTGTTCAAAATCCTATTCCCCCAACAATGGGGCGAACTTTTCTGGAAGCAATGACCAGGTCCAACAGCGTAAGTTTTTTTTTCGAACATTTGTAATCATAAATATCAGTTTTCCTCTAGTTGTAAGTACTTGCTTTATTTTGATATTTACCTTATTTGTTACTGTTTTAATGTGACCAAATAATCGTCATATGCATATTGAAATATTTCATATGCTTAGTACTATATTTTACAAATAAAACAAACTATAATAACTTTTTAATGTACCCACACCTTTTTGTAATTTTTAAAAACTGAAAATTTAAGTGTGGAATCTTTATTTTAAATTTAAAAGCTATTTTGCATCAATTTTCTAGGAGCTAGTAAAATTAAAATGTACAGAATTATGGGTGTTTTACAATTCATTTTAACGTTTCAAATACTTTTGTAATTCTAAATTGTCTAATTGCAAAAACACAATTTGAAAATAAAAAAAAACATACTGAATGGAATTATTGCGAATAATGTGATTATTTTTATTTATACATAATACTTAATTATCTATTTACAAATATATATAATATATATACAGGGTGTCCAGTAAGTAGCACGACAAACTGCGTGGGGTGATAGCCTAGGTCAAGGCCTACCTAGACAACATAAAGTATATTCCGCAAAAATCAGTGGTTCTCAAGTTATGTAGTATTTAGTATAATTTAAAAAAATCCCTACCCTGCATCAGATTTTAATTTTAATTTACATAAAAAACTAATTTAAGGATTTTTTTTCAGCTGTAATTATTCTTGAATATTGGTTCAACATAATAGTAAATGTTAGGTTCCTAAGATAAGCCGCAAAAAATATTAAAAAGGTCGTCAAACTTTTTTTCCTTAATTTTTTATTTCTTGACCTTTTATGTTAACCTACAGTGGTGTAAAAAAAATGTATGGGGCTGTTTTATTTAACCTTTTTTAAAACATGTCTGTTCATTGCTGATTTCAAAAAAGTACAACACTTATGGATTCCCATTCCCATAAAATAAAATAAAAATATTTTTAACCAATGAGTAAAAATTTTCTAGAAATCAAGAATATCGTTACTTTTCTAAAACACCGTAATAACACTAGCCCAGCAATTCGACTGCATCTAAAACACGTTTGCCATAGTGCCATTTCTCTCTCACTCCCTGTGGATGGGAAAGAAACAATAGTGAACGGCTTGCCCCACCCCACAAGCGACCTATCTACCTGCCGAACCAGTTTGGACAGGCCGATCTAGTACGTTGCCGTTAGTCATCACGCGCACACGCACAACTTTTTCATCGCCAAGTACTTTTTGACTCCTACCGACCGACCTATTATTTATTTACACCGGACTCTTGTTTCTGCCTTTCGATTTGGACTTTAATGTGTTTGTGATTACCCTGCGACAACTTGGCAAGCTTTTGGACTACGGACTGCACTTAGCTATTTGGATTTTTTGTGAAATCTTCAACTGCCGAAAACACTGTGCTGTTGTTGTTGTTGTTGAACATGGCAGCTAATCGCCGCGTTTATGAACCTTACACTCAAAGAGAGTACGCTGAAATGCACGTTATTTACGGGGAAGCGGGCCAAATCTCCCGTGCTGCAGCGCGCCTTTATCAGGAACGATACCCTGACCGAAGACATCCACATCATGAAATGTTTACGCGAATCCATAATGCCTACACGCAAGGAAGACTGCCTGGTCAGCGAGGCGGCGGTGGACGGCCCCAAGTTGCCGACGAGGACATCATTCTTCAAGAACGACAAGACGATCCATCTACTTCGGTGCGGGGAATTTCACTGCGCACTGGTATGCCTAAGTCTACGGTTCATTCTGTGCTTCAAAGACATGGATACTACCCGTTTCATATTCAACGTGTGCAAACGCTAATGGACGGAGATTACGAACAAAGAATGATTTTTTGTCGTCGCATGCTTCAAATGCATCAAGAAGATCCATTGTTCTTCAACAAAATACTTTGGACCGACGAATCGGCGTGTCGAAAAGATGGATTTTTTAATATGCACAACTTGCACAACTGGCAACTGGCAAACCCACATGAAGCCAGAGAAGATCGGTCCCAGTACCAATTTAAAATCAATTTATGGACGGTGATTTTCAAGGGGGAAATCATAGGACCCGTGGAACTGCCGCAAGTTTTAAATGGGGCAAGATATTTAGAATTTCTTAGAGAAACTTTGCCCCCGCTGCTTGCCGATGTTAATGAGGACATACGCCAGAAGATGTGGTTGCAAAATGACGGCTGTCCGGCCCATTATGCAGTAGAAGTAAGAAACCATTTGAATGCAGTCTTTCCAGGAAGATGGATCGGAAGACTTGGACCAATATTATGGCCACCAAGGTCACCTGACCTCAATCCCTTAGATTTCTTTTATTGGGGTTGTTTAAAAGATAAAATTTATGCCAAACCAATAAGAAATGATGAAGAACTGCGAGCCAGAAAAACGCAGCTTCGCGCGAAATCACGCAAATGAATCTAAGAAGGCTTCGAACGCAATTTTTAAGACGTTGTCGATTATGTATTCGAGCTAGAGGCAGGCAATTCGAACATTTGCTGTAATTTTTTTTTATTAAAAATATTAACTGTATTTTTTGTTTTATTTTAGTAATGTACCGTACCTGTACCTTATACTGCTTTTTTTCACACCGGCAATAAATATTGAGTATCAATATGCTAACAAAAACATAACTGAAAGGTTTTACACATTAAGTCGAAAGTTCACTTTCTTTCTGACTTTGTATAAAAGTCGCATTTTTTGGTTTTTTGTAATGAGAATCCACAAGTGTTTTTTTTTTTAAATCAGCAATAAACAGACATGTTTTTAAAAAGGTTAAATAAAACAGACCCATACATTTTCTTTACACCACTTTAGGTTAACATAAAAGGTCAAGAAATAAAAAACTGGGAAAAAAAGTTTGACGACCTTTTTAATATTTTTTGCGGCTTTTCTTAGGAACCTATCATTTACTATTATGTTGAACCACTATTCAAAAATAATTACAGCTGGAAAAAAAATCCCTAAATTAGTTTTTTATGTAAATTAAAATGAAAATCTGATGCAGGTTAGAGATTTTTTTAAATTATACTAAATACTACATAACTTGAGAACCACTGATTTTTGCGGAACATACTTTATGTTGTTTAGGTAGGCCTCGAACTAGGCTATCACCCCACGCAGTTTGTCGTGCTACTTACTGGACACCCTGTATATTGGTTTCATTCAGTATTTTTTTACAAATTTTCAATTCTTTTGTTTTTCAATTATAATAATTTTGAGTTACAACAGTATTTGGTTTTGTGTGGGATTTGATGAGTACGGGTTGATAGTGAAACAACTGTTTGACTTTGTTTTTATTACAATAATAGGTAATAATATAATTCGTTTTTATACTGTGGTAATTAACTGATATAAATGTAAAATTACAGATCTAAACCTCTTAGATATAGTAGAAACATATTGAAAATAAAATTATATTTATAGGAAACAGTGGGTTGACATATAAATTAAATTATTTGCAATTATAATATTGTAGTGATAATATAAAAAGTAGAAATACGTAAAAATTGAAAATGAAGCTATATTCCAGATTGAAATCTCGATATTTTTTCAAATAAACCACCATTTAAGGCTCTTTACGGTTCTCATGGTCACAAATGAAGATTTAGATCCGAAAAAATAGTTACATGTCCAATGTGTAGCAACTGCAGAAGACTTAGGGTCGTATTCTAGAACTCTACTCAATGCTCAAGTCAGGGTTTGAGTATGGTTTAAAGCAGTCGAAATCATACTCAAGTCCCTTGCATTAGGGTCGTATTTCCAGTGCTTGTGTTGCCAGTGCAATCCTGACTTGAGCATTGAATAGAGTTCTAGAATACAACCCTAAGACCAATATGTACATTATATTATGTAAATCTATTGTATGGGTCTTCACAATACGGGGTTCCCTAGTGTGGGGACCGCGGTAATCATAAAATTGTTGCTGTCAATATGTGAAATAAACTTTAAACTTAAACTTTACAAAGAATTATAAACAAGTTCAAAATTCCAGTTACAAGTGCAATTTATCTCATTATATATTATTATTATAATTAGGTTAACTTCTTTTAGAGCCTGTTTCGTCCTTCATCACAGCGATCATTACTTGATATATATTGAACTCTACTAATTACAATTCGAAATAAAGACCACGGTGTTAAAGAACACAAGTTATTAAGAAATAAATATTTTATTAAAATTCAGTTGTGTCAGAAATAGTTCTTACAAATGTTTCAATTTTCTAATTACCGTATCCATGGCTACGGTAATTAGATCTAATTACCGTTTTCATAAAATATTTGTGTCTTAATAACTCGAAAACTCCTTTTTTTTATAACATCAAGTGACGGGACGAACAAGTCGTGCGTCAATAGTAAGCTTCACGCCTGTCCATGACAATAAAATTACAGTGCTACTCTTTAAATTGCATCAGCTTTAAATTGCAAAGATCTGAGCCTCAGATTCTGAGGGGCACTGCCCCCGCGCCCGTCACTCTGAGATGTAAGTTGACAAAGTCCCATGTGCGTGTAATTTCACCAGCACCCTTTACCCTTCAAAACTGGAACACAGTAATGCTGACAGTACTGCCTGGCGGCAGAAATATGTAGGTACGGTGGAAGTACTTCCCTGGACAAACTCTTTCACAAGGAGCTCTACAGCTACTAAAAATACTTGTTGTTGTTGTCGATTCCAATGACATATTGGTGGTTTAGTTTAAAGTTCTTCATATTTCAATGTTATTGGGTATATTGCGAGAAAAAACAGTGGCTACGGCAATTAGGCTGAGAATACCGAATGTGAGAATGGACGACTTCAGACACCTGTGACATTGCGGACCGTCATTTCTCGAATTCGGAACTGGGGGTCTACTCTCGATCTCCGTCCGACATCCGTCCGAAACAATTGCTGCCAAATAAGCAATACTTAACCAAATGAAAAGACGCGTGATGCGAATGAAGCTTCATACTTGATACTTGTCTTTTAATTTTGTCGAATATTACTTATTTGACAGTAATTGTTTCGGACGGATGTCAGACGGAGATCGAGAGTAGACCCCCTGATACGAATCGGACGCAGTGCGCCAACGATCACCTCTGTGTTGTTGGTCAGATATCGATTTCTCAAATAGTGGAATTTGTATTCTAATGTTAAGTAAAAGGAAATCATTTTGACTGTTAGGGCTCGCTGCCGCCCCCATTTCTGTGCCGCCCGGGGCCACGGCTCCTTCTGCGCCCCCCGCGCTACGCTACTGGATCAGTACATTCGTTTGGGAGCTATAACCACACAGAGACAAAGACTTCATACTTAATAAGTCCCATCTAAAAAAAAAAACTCGTATAAAATTTGATACTTAAAGACTGTCCTGAATACAAAAGTAGCTCAAGTGTACAAATAAATACATGTAATTAGTTAATTACGGAAGGTCTTTGTTGGGCAATTCGTTGTTTATTGCTGCTTTTGTACAAATAATGTTAAATGTAATATTTCCCTTGTATCGGAATATGTAATTTTGACTATATTTTTTAAAATCTTGTATATTATTTGTCAGAGCTATTTTGGTCGTAATTTTGACTTTTAGATATTTAAATATTTCGTTGTTTGCATTTTTAGTGAGACTTTTTCCAGTTAAGTTCCATATAGATAATGTTTAAAACTGCCTTTGTGGCCGAACGATTACCATACCGGACTGCCACGCAGAGGTCCCAGGTTCGATTCCCGGGCCGGGAGAAATATTTATATGGCCTACATTGATTTATCTCGTAAGTTTGTGGTTGTCTATGTGTGTGTCCATGGCACCTGCGACACAGGGTTTCCCTTAATATTATTATTAAACGTTAGATAAAAACAATTGAAAATCGAAACAGAATTTTTTTCATAATAAAATCATTGCAGGAGCAACGATCTCCCGAATGGAGTCAGTCAATAACTACGTGGAATCAGTAGTGTGCACCACAGACGACTTAAAAGATAATGAGATGAAAGTATTCGACATCGGCGAGGACGGCAAAGTGTTGGTCGTGAGACAGAAAGGGGAATTCAGCGCTGTCGGAACTAAATGTACTCATTATGGAGCTCCTCTTGTAAATGGGGCACTAGGTCATGGCCGAGTGCGTTGTCCGTGGCATGGAGCCTGCTTTAATTTGAAGACTGGAGATATAGAGGATTTCCCCGGTTTCGATTCTCTGCCGTGCTATCAAGTTACCGTTTCTGAAAAGGGAGAAGTTAAGGTGAGTACATTGTGAAATTCCATGTATTGAATTTGTGTGCATCATCTTTGGTTTAGAAAAAAAAATTACATGATTTTAAAAATATACGTAATTAGAATCATGTACGCAAGATTGAAACTATTAAAATCTTCTTGTTAATGTTCGATGATTTGTCATCCATTCTATGTATCGGAATTGTGCGGATTATCTTCGCCTTGGGATAAAATTGTTGAAATGATTTTGAAAAATATTCATAATTAGAATCATGTCTAAATCTGTGTAATGTTTTAAATTTTACAAATTCGTATCTAACTTTTACTAAATCTAGACATAAACGAAATTTAATTCTCTTATTCCGTTCTTAAGAAATCGTTCCTTTTAAAAGCGTGCGGATTGAGCGAGCATAAGAAAGTATTTGTAAAAATTTTAAAAAGCCACTAATGGATCTGTAATTAAAAACGATGGTTTAACAAAACTTTTACTAAAAACTAGTCCAATAATATTACATGCAAACTTAATACTTTTGTAGATCTGACTGGCCCTCTGTGAGAACTAAGTGAGCACACATTAAGTTATTATTCTCTCGTTTTATCTTTTTATAAATAGAAAGATTGGTTTCTACAATTGTTTTAGAACTTTTACTAAATGACTAATATATTTTAAAAAAACTACAGAGGGTGCTCACTCAATCTATACACACGTATTTTTGAACATTGAACCTTTATTTTTTAATGAAAAAATTACGCACGCTTGGCTACAACCTGATGGCGAAGGCGTGATGAGGATGGTACCTTTTTGTTTAATAATTATCTCACTACAGAGTACTAAAAAGCCGACCTCAAAAGTTCGTGGAATTACGTGTATTTGCCAAGTTTTATTGAAATCGGTTACCGGAAAGTGCGCGAAACCTGATTCTACGCCTAGTTTGCCACAAATCGAGATGAAATATTTTCTTCACCTTATCTACTATCGAGGTACCCTTCCTCCAACAAAAGAAATAATGATCGCAATCGGTTCACGAATCCTAATCACCAGAGTTATCGTGTAACATATATGTATACATACAAAAAAATTGATACCTCCTCCTTTTTTTTGAAGCCGGTAAAAATGCCATCGCATCGCGGAGCGTCAATGGGACAGACATCACGTGTTTGCGATGTGATGGCTGTTGATACAAATTGGTGACAAATCCATAGTGAATATATCACAGGAATATTGAAACCGTCATAGTCAACCACAGTATCCTGTAACCATTGATAGTAAGAACCGCAAGCGAACACAAACGATTTAGGAACCTCTGATTATTGACCTTCTTTGACTCCCTGTGATATATCAGACACCCATAATAAACATCACAGCATGCCGTAGAGATCGATATGTGAACAATGCATCTTGTGTATGTGATTTGTCAATTGAAACAAGTCAGAAGTATTTGTATTTACCTTTGAATTTTTTTTATTTTGTTAAAAGGCAGTTATTAAAAGAATGTCTGAATTCATATTCATGTTCTTTATTTCATAGTTACATAACAGGTGTTCTTATGCTAATGGTACTTGTCATGTAGGGCACTGCAACATTCTGAGGGCACTATGTCCATACTTTGCTAACTACATTATTAAAATAAAATTAGGAATGATTAATAATAAAAACTAAACAATTTTAGGCAATATCAACAATAAATATAAGTAATTCCTTTTACATTCAGGTCTCATTCCTGATCCACTTATGTCTGAACATCAGGACTTCTTGACAGGAATATTTAATTACTTAATAGGTTGGTCCCAATCTGTGTCTCTAATGACGAGTTTACTTCGAATAAACATTCTTCGTTTCAATTTTCACCTATTTGTATGGAAAGTTGAACAATGTTTTGGCAATTCGGATATGGGTTCCATAAGAAAAAATATTCAATAGCATCACCCATTGACCTTGTAGGTAGGTCAATGGCAACACCACATAAATGTTAACATGTACTAAAAGTATAGATAAAAATAATAATAGAAAGCAGTACTGCTCGATATGGTACGTATTGTTCACCGGTTCTTGAACATGAGTCCCTGACCCCGGCTGACTTGACCAATGCCAGGGAAATTCGCCTGTTCCATTTAAAAATTCAAAATTAATCTTTTAGGCCATAGGAGAGGCCAGAGTCTAAAATAGATAGTAATAAATCTTTACTCATCTCCACACAACAAAACAAAGAATCAGATGGAATAAATGTTTACACCCTGTGTTTAATATATGTATGTATATAATAACAGCGCGCGGCTAGCCGCTGTGTACAGGTAAACACTTGTGCTCTGCATACCCGTACGAACTAAGACTAAATAAAAATTTATACTCATATAATAGAACTACTTACCATTCCAAGATGCGGAAATGCCATTGGTGTGATAAACATACTAACATAGGAGATTTATTGGAATGTAGCAAATGTAGAGGGAAATACCTTTACTTTCGTGCAAACATCGAAAAAAAAAAATTTTTATCAGAAAAGGACGAATTAGAACGCACCTGGACATGCTCAGGGTGCGAAATGATCACACAACGTAAAAACAGAGACGATAATACTCCTGTACGCCTTCAAACACAAAACCAGCAAACATTTAAATGACACCATAACTTCAGTAAACAGTCATTTATTTGAGGAAAGTATGGAGACACACAACAAAAAAAATTTACTCCACAAAACAATTAACCTGTTGAAATGAATGAAGTTAACTTCGTGGAAAAAATGTCTACACTATTGGACTCAAAACTAGACACAAAATTTGAACAACTTATCTTATCTTATTAACTTAATAAATATCATTGATAAAATATATAACACAAGAATTTAACAAAAAAATCGAGACACTGAAATCTGAATTCACACAAACCACTGACTTTCTCACATAACAACAAAATGACTTAACAAAACAAATAAATGAAGCTAGAAACCGAGTATATGACATTGAATTGCAAATAAAAAATCTACATCAGAATCCTAACATACATATCCAGTTCTTAGGTTTTCGCGATTGTTACACATAAACCTGTAAAGGGCCCGAAACGTCGGTTTGTTTGAAAAAACAAATATACGCGATTTAAATCCGGAAAAATAGTTTCATTTCCTATGCCTAACATACATGTTAATAAAAACATAACAAAGGCGCAAGCATACCCACATACGGAAAATGAAAACCTATAACTACAAAATAAAATCGAAGAATTATATAATAAAATAAACAAAGAGAGATATTGCAAGAAAATAGTACTATACGGACTTAACGAATATGAAAATGAAACAAGAACAAAACTTAATAGAAAAGTTGAATAATATTTTTTTTGACATACTTGATATTGATTTAAATGGATATATAGAAAACGACTAGGAAGAAATAACTATAAAAGACGTATAGAAATAGAACTGATAAGCAAAAGAATGACTGAACATATTTTCGATCGAATTTAATTTGGTTTGAAAATTCCGGAATATACCTATATCTAAATATATCTAAACATATATCTAAATGTCTGACAAACGAACAACAGCCGGAAAGACAAACATTACTGAGATGCTTAAAAACGGCAAGAGCAAATAGATAGCATGCAGTTATAAGAGATAAGAAGCTATACATAAATGGACAGTTATACATAAATAGAGAAAATAGCGACACACGAAACATCCACATACCAGTACAGCTGATCAAATGGTCACCCTACAACAACAACAAACGTCTAAACCGAATCAAACCAATAAGCCCTTTCGTGCATAGCATTGCGTTGTTATATCAGAATATCAGGAGCGTAAACAACAAAAAATCGATATTAGAGCAGGTAATGCAAGAAGAAAAGATTGATGTTGTTTGTTTGTCCGAGACATGGCACATCAACGCGAATATTAATCAATATCTAATGAACGGATACAAATTGTCAGCGCATTTTAATCGTAAGAATTATCGAGGTGGTATGTATACTAACGAAAGAGAAATTGAAATGTAAGGAAAGAAAAGATATAGCAGATTTGGCGGTGGAATATATTCTCGAGTTATGTGAATTAGAAATTGAATGCCAAAATACGTTAATTACATGTCTATACTGGAACGAGCGTGAAACAAAACTTTTCTACGAAACTCTTGTAGGTTTACCCGAAAAATTAATAAAAGACAAATATAAAAATATTGTAATTGGAGGAGACTTTAATATTAACGTGCTTGAAAACTCAAAAAATTCTATTGAACTGAAAAGCACTATGGTTAGTTACAACTTTTATCAAAAAATTTATGAACCAACACGTACAAAAAAGAACACAAAAACATGCATAGATTTAATTTTTGGAAATTTTAAAGACATTACCACAGAAGTGAGGGACTTAGGACTATCGGACCATAAAGGAATTATTCTAAAAATGAACTCAAATATTAATCAAGAACAAAACATAAACGTGAAAACTAAACGAATATTTTCTAATCACAATGTTAATATATTTAAACAAAAACTACAAGACATTGACTAGCACGCGCTCTTTCCGGATCAAAATGACATACATTCAAATCATAAAATGTTCAGTAACATTCTTCATAACCTGCTTTGCACATATGTACGTCTGATAACCATAAGAATAAAACCGCAGAACAATAAAATTTATTGGTTAACAAAAGGTCTCAAAAATTCATGTAAATATAAAAGAATATTACGTACATTAATAAATTACACAAATAATGCGACTCTAAGAACATATTTTAAAAAATATACAAAAATTTTAAAAATATCAATTTATAAATATCGAAAAAACTGTACAACATGAAACAAATGCAAAAATCGGAAAATAAGACAAAGACCATGTAGAAAATAATAAAAAGTAAAACAAACAATTTAAATAAAAAACAACATGAGAATATTACATTAAATATAAATGGCAAAGTTGTTGACTCCCCTATGGAAGTGACAAATAAATTCAATAATTTTTTCGCTACGCTAGGACAAAACAAGAAAACTTTTATTAGCACAAACTCACACCAACACACATTGGACTCTGA